ATAAATATACTTACTCCTTGATTACAGATGAAGAAATTGAGACTCAAATTTACATAGTTATTAGATGAAAGAATCAGAATATGAAGATGGCTCTGCCGATGCCCTATTGCCTGCTCAGTAGTCGGCATACACTCTGTACAGACTGACGATGGAGAGCTAATCAGAGTGTTCCTGAGACAGTGTCATGTCTTGTACAGTTAATGACACCAGCTAGCAAGGGTCACTGTTTCTGTCCCTTGCTCATTCAAAACTGCCAACTTCAGCCAGGCGCAGTAGCTCACGCCTGTAATCCTAGCACTCTGGGAGGCCGAGATGGGAGGATTGCTTGGGCTCAGGAGTTCGAGACCAGCCTGAGCAAGAGCCAGACCCCATCTCTACTAAAAAAAATAGAAAGAAATTAGCTGGACAACTAAAAATATATAGAAAAGAAAAAATTAGCCGGGCATGATGGTGCATGCCTGTAGTCCCAGCTACTTGGGAGGCTGAGGCAGGAGGATTGGTTCAGCCCAGGAGTTTGAGGTTGCTGTGAGCTAGGCTGATGCCATGACACTTACTCTAGTAGCCAGGGCAACAGAGTGAGACTCTGTCTCAAAAAAAAAAAAAAAAAAAACAAAAACCTACCAACGTCATCCTTAAGGGGGAACTTCTCAGAGACATGTGACTTTCCTTGTCTTCTTATATTCTTTCATTTAATACATATTTATGAGGCAACTATATGCCTGGTTTTGTCCTACTTCGATAATATAAAACAGACAAAAAACCCTGTCATCATGAAGCTTATATTTTCACCAAGGGGACAGACATATATATAAGCGACTTACATAGTATTTTACAAGGAAATAAGTCCTAAAGGAAAATGGAAAGTAGAGCAGGATAAAAGAGAGGGGTGTATGGTCAGGGGACAGTATTCAATAGGGAGCACAGGATCAAGCTCCTGTAGAAATTGACATCTGAACAAAGCGCAGAAAGAAGTGTATTCCAGGCAGCAGGAGCAGCTGGAGCAATGGCTCTAAGGTGGGAGTGTGCCTGGAGTGCTCTAGAAATACCAAGGCTGCAAGTGTGTTTAGGGTGGATTGAAGAAGGGCAAAATTAGCTATTTTTGAAGAGGAGGGAATGAAAGAGTACTAACAGCAAAGAGGGGGTGTTGGTCATGGAGGGACTTACCTAGTCTAGGTCCTATAATGTAGACAGCCTGCCCCTGGTGTAGGCAAGGATCATACAGATAATTTGGGTTTGGTCTTACTGTTCAGTGGCCCTAGCCTACATTTGTCTTCATAGGGTAGTCACCCAAAACTTACTAGCACTATATGGGTTTAGAAAATTGCTTCAGCAAGGTTCAGCTACACTTACTCACAGAAACCCACTCATGGATCATTATTTCTATAGTGTTTCTGGTCAACCCATTCCTTTACATTTATTTTGGCCACAATCATAGCAGCTGGTTATCCAATGCATAGTATATACTGAGAAGATACTTATTAAATGATGGGCTTGAGAATGAATGAAGACAGATCCAATCTTATAACACAGATGGATGATGGATACTTCCACCTTTAAATAAACTTGTATTCTGGATGTAGACATAAGCTACGCATTTACTTACTGTGTTGAATTGACTATCTGGAGTATGATTAGGCATTGATTAAATCTTGTTTTTAAATGCATTCATGTCTCATCAACAAAAGAGAAACATTTTTATCTCTATACCTTCAAAAACATTCTCTGGCTCCGAAAAGGATATTTACTAAAAATATCTTGCTTCACCTTGAACAGAGTTACTAGTTAAAAAGAAAGACATAAACCTAATCTCAAGAAAAAATGTTATTTGTTTGCTAGATGATATATTTATGTCTACAGTATCCATAGTGATTTCATTGTCTTGGTACAATCTTCAACTTCAAATGTCAACCACATACTTATTGTCTTTGTTGGACTTAACCTTCTTTATCATGATAATTTACTTCCATAGCTCTTCAGTAACTAAGACTGTCTGTGACATTTACTGCTGGCATAGTGGATGTAAATCAGAGTTCCTGAAATTGTTTTTAACCTTCTCTTTTCCAGAGTTTGGAATGACCTCTGTACTACTGTAAATGCAATAGATTGATGTTAGCATGTGGTATGAAACTTTTGTAAATATATTTTTTAAACTCCCCTAAATTCATATATAATAAAGTAATCGTTTTGGAAAACATGAGCTGATACATGTTTTAAATATCATAGGAAAAGCCAGTTAGGGAATATTTTATTTACTCTTTGGTCATCTTTTGCTTAATAAACAAATTTTAAATTTAAGGCAAACAAAAACATTCATGGTTCTATGGGTGTCAAAGCATCAATAAAGAAGAATTAGCCACATCAGAAGGAAATTAGAAAACACTTATTTTAATTGCCCCATCAATTTAAATCCATTTTTCCATTTATTTTTAACACCTATTATAATTAATTTAACAAAACAATCATCGCATTTCAAATATAATTCGAGGTGTTACTTTATAATTTACTGTCATCATTTTTCAATTAACTAATCATTTATGCTATCTTAAGAACATATAGCCCTACCCAATGTTTATTAAATAAAAGCATAGAGAAATAGAGTTAGTATTTTTTAAAGTGTTTTTCATTATTGTTGTGTAAAATGCCAAGTTTTTATGACAGCTTCATCATTTGACTGGGTGTATGAATTTTTACAAATTTCTTAAGCCAAGTATTAACAAGTTAAAGAAATTCTATCCTTAGTAACAAAGGCCTTTGATTAATATCTATCTTTTTGAGTAATTTACATGTTAATTATCATTATGATTTTAAAATGCAATGAAAATGTATTTGGTACGAGCATTATACCAAATGTGTATTCAATCATATTTTGAAAGGGAATTTTTTATCTTTATACCTTTAGGTATTCTATCAATCACTCCTTTAAAATGACCTCATAATGATTTTTTTTAAAATACAGTCATGCATTACTTTATAACAGGAATATGTTCTGAAAAATACATTGGTAAGTGACTCTGTCATCATTGTGCAAGCATAATAGAGTGTACTTACATAAACCTAGATGGTATAGTCTATTGCTCCTAGGCTGCAAACCTATAAAACATGTCACTGTATTGAATACCATAGGAAATTGGAACACAGTGGTACATATTTGTGTAACTAAACATACCTAAACATAGGACAGGTACAGTAAAAATATAGTATAAAGGATTAAAATGGTACACCTGTATAGGGCGCTTACCATGAATGGAGATTACAGGGTTGGAAGTTGCTCTGGGAAAGTCAGTCAGTGAGTGGTGAGTAAATGTGAAGGCCTAGGATCTTACTACACACTACTATAGACTTCATAAACACTGTACACTTAGGCTACACTAAATTTATAACAATTTATTTCTTTAATAATAAATTAACTTTAGCTTACCATAACATTTTTCCTTTATAAACTTTTTAAATTTTTTTAACTTTTTGACTTTTCTTAATAACACCTAGCTTAAAACACAAACATAATGTATAGCTATACAAAAATATTTTCTTTCTTTATATCCTTATTCTATAAGCTTTTATCTATTTTTAATTTTTTTTAAAAAAACTTTTTTTTGTCAAAAAGGCATAAAAATACACATTAACCTAGGCCTACACAGAGTCAGGATTATCAATATCCCTGTCTTCCACCTCCACATCTTGTCCCACTGGAAGGTCTTCAGGGGCAAAAACTCTCATGGAGCACCATACCCTATGATAACAAAGCCTTCTTCTGGAATAACTCCTGAAGGACCTGCCTGAGGCTGTTTTACAGTTAACTTTTTTTAATAAATAGAGGAATACACTCTAAGATTTTAAAAAAGTGTAGTATAGTAAATACATAAACCAGTAACATAGTCATTTATTATCAAGTACTATGTACTGTACACAATTGTATGTATTATACTTTTATAGGACTGGCAGTGCAATAGTTTTCTTTACACAAATATCCCCAGAAACACATGAGTAATGCATACCACTACAACGTTACAATGACTATGGTATCACTAGGTGATCAGAATTTTTCAGCTCCATTATGATCTTATGAGACCACTGTTATATATGTGGTCCATCATTAACCAAAGTCATTAGGTGCTGCATGACTGTAACTCTATTCTTGTTATAATTCTATAATTTAATATAAATAAAAATTTTATATGCCATAGTACAGTAAAATTTATTTCTCAAAATAGAAAATCACCATGTTTAAAATATTACACCATGTATATTATAAAGATAATAAGGTCAAAGTATATAATCTATTTCTTTAGACTATTTACAGAGATGATTCAGTTTTGTGTGTGACTAGCCTCACTATCAGTTAATAACAGTAAGTGCTAGGAGGTATGAAAACATGACAGGTAGCCAGAGAAGAAAACATGAAAGGCAAGCATCTAGCTTCTTTTCCTTATATTCTCTCTGAAATTATTATATAAATATCCAATGTATTTTCCTCATGGCTCTTGTCTCAGAATTTGTGTAATTTTCTAATAGCCTTATTTTTCATCCTAAAGTGTCAAGAGTATCCAGGTCTCTGCCCAAATGATTGGCGATACTTCTCTCTATGCCAGAGTAACAACAATGAAGATGAGCCCATAGACTCAATGGTCACGTGATTAGGACTATATTTGTGTTTTTCGTGGCTCATGTAGGATCCCTCCAAACCCTTTGCCTAATGCCATTTCTGGACAATTACCTATTATAACCTGATTAGCTGGGAAACAGCAGCTAGTTATACAGTCTTGAAATAAAACAAAACCAATGTTCACATGGAATCAACTTCAAGATCATTGCCTCAGTTACATTAATCAACAAGCCTTCGAATATTTCAAGAACAAAATATATTGAAATAGAAATCTTACTGTTATTTATTTCATTTATAATAAATTGAGGATTCATTTTAAAAACTATTAAATATGACTAATTTCATTTTCTTAAAAAAATGATAATAAGGCTTTCCATTTTCTGTTCTTTTCTCATAGGTTTAGGCTTCAGTATTGCAGGAGGTGTGGGAAACCAACATATTCCTGGAGACAACAGCATTTATGTAACTAAAATTATAGATGGAGGAGCTGCACAAAAGGATGGAAGGTTGCAAGTAGGAGACAGACTGCTGATGGTGAGTGAGTGTGACTCCAATAAAACTGTGTATATATTTACAAAGCTCTTGTTTCCCAGTGTATGACTATCTTAGTCTGCTTAGGCTGCCGTACCAAAATACCACAGAGTGGGTGGCTTAAACAACAGAACTTTGTTTTCTCGCAGTTCTGGAGACTGGGAAGTCCAAGGTTTCAAACAATTAGGTTTTTATTTTATTTTATTGATTGAGTAAGTGATTGATTGATCAGTAAAGACAAGGTCTCACTATATTTCTCAGGCTGGTCTTGATTTCCTGGCCTCAAGTGATCCTCCTGCCTCAGCCTCCAAAAGTGCTAGGATTACAGGCGTGAGCCACCTGACTAGGTTTCGGTGAGGGCTGTCTTCCTGGTTTGCAGATGGCTATCTTCTCACTGCATCCTTTTCTTGTGTTTGTGCTGAGAGAGATATCTCTCTTCTTCCTCTTATAGGGCCACCTCTCCTTATAAACCCACCACCTCTTCTTTTAAGGCCCAGTCCTCACATATTAGGGCCCCATCTTTAGCTCATTTAACCTTAATTACCTCCTAAAGACCCTATCCACAAATATAGTCACATTAAGGGTTAGAAATTCAACATATGAATTTGTGAAGGGACGCAATTCAGTCCATAGCAGTGGCAATGGGTAGAAATAGAAAAGAAGGGAGAACAGATATAAGGATAAGAGAGCTCAAAATTACATGTCCAATGTATCTGTTTTTATTAATATTTTCAAAACAGAAATCTAAATTTTCACCAGTTTTCTTAGATACACATAGCATAAAGATTACCTGTTATTTTTCTAATGTAATCTATCTCCTATCAGGGAGAGCAACTGCTATTCCCAGACTGCTAGAGAGGTAGATTTTGCATAACAAAGGAAACAACACCTGACTTCCAAAAATTTATACTCGATGAGTTCTGTCAACATGTATAAATGCATCCCTTTCTTCCCTCCCCTCATATAGGGTTACAGCTACTTTATTTGTCAGCTTCCCACATGCTTCAGGAGTCCTGGGAAATGATTTTCACTGATACACAGCCATCATTTCTGGACCATGGAGTTCTCTGACAAACTAAAGCAAAATTAAGGCGATTATAAGTGATAAAGCATGTGGGACTGTACTAATAAAACTGCTTCATGTCCATTGACTCCTGTATACCAAATCTATAATGAACATTAATAGTCAGTAGCTCTCAAGTAAGAGTAACTTATTTAATATGTCTACCCTTATAAAACAGGGCCTCTAATCTATGTTTGCAAGGAGCCATTATCTCCAGGACTTTTTTGAGAAGTGTTTGTGAATGATCAACCTACACAATCTCAAGAGAAAAGTAATTTCCATGACATATGCAAGTTTTGGAGGTTGAACCCTAAAGTTTTATATTCATTGTGCCCACTTCCCTGGGCTCTAGAAAGCTTGTCTTTAATCTGAGTGGTCTAGTTTTATGGTGTCAATGACCTTTGTAGTGAATTATCTGATTAAGACCTGTATAATAATCTCGATACCTAACATTTACTTGGCATTCACTATGTTTCGTGTACTTTTAAAGGTGCTTTTTTTTAATGTAACACATATTTCTCACAACAGCATATTTTATATGAGCAAAAGGAAACCAAGGTGGAGAAAAGTTTACTAATTTCCCAATGGATGCATAGTTAATAATGACAGAACTAGATTTTAAATTCAGACCATCTGACTGGCATGCTCATTACCACCAAGCAATACTGCTTCCTGTGCATGGCATTTGCATTAGTTTCCTTGAATTTGTCAGTCATTTCTTTCCTTTCTTTCTTTATTCATCTTTCAGTCATTCATTAATTCCTTTGTTTAACAAGTGTATATTACCTACCTACCATATCCTTCACAATAGCCACTACTCGGGAAGGAACTCTGTCATGAAAAATCATCTGGTCCGACTGGATGGGCAAAAAGCACACTGCTAATAACTTCAGTCAAAGTTGTAACTATAGTTTGGGACTTCTTTACCTCAGGATACAAAATCAATGCACACAAATCAGTGGCATTCGTATATGCCAATAACAGTCAAGCCAAAAATCAAATCAAAGATGCAACACCTTTCACAATACCATCAAAGATAATTAATATTTAGGAATATATTTAATAAAGGAGGTGAGAGACCTATATAGGGAGAACCACGAAACACTGAGAAAAGAAACTGTAGAAGATGTAAACAGATGGAAAACCCTACCATCCTCATGGATTGGCAGAATCAATATTGTTAAAATATCCATACTACCTAAAGTGATCTACAGAATCAATGCAATCCCTTTCAAAATACCATCATCATTCTTTACAGATCTAGAAAAAATAATTCTACACTTCATATTGAACCAGAGAAGACCTCATATAGCCAAAGCAATCTTAAGCAAAAAGAACAAATTGGGGGGCATCAGTTTGCCACACTTCAAGCTTTACTACAAGGCTATAGTAAACAAAACAGCATGGTACTGGCACAAGAACAGATATACAGACCTTCGGAACAGGACTGAGAACACAGATACAAAACCATCCTCATATTGTCATCTAATCTTCAACAAAGCAGACAAAATATACCTTGGGGAAAAGAATCTCTATTCAGTAAATGGTACTGGGAAAACTGGATAGCCACATGCAGAAGATTGAAACTGGATCCCCACCTCCTACCTCTCACAAAAATCAACTCACAATGGATAACAAACTTAAGCCTAAGGTATGAAAACTTAAGAATTCTGGAAGAGAATGTTGGGAAAACTATTATAGGCATCCGCCTAGACAAAGAATTTGTAAGGAAGACCCCCAAAGCAGTCACAGCAGCAACAAAAGTAAATAAATGGGACCAAAGTAAAAAGCTTCTACACAGCCAAGGAAACTATCATTACAGCAAATAGGCAACCTACAGAATGGGAGAAAATATTTGCATGCTACACATTCAATAAAGGGCTGATAACAAAAATCTGTATAGAACTTAAAAAATTAACAAGAAAAAATCAAACAACCCCATTAAAAAATGGGCAAAGGACGTGAGCAGAAACTTTTCAAAAGAAGACAGAATAACGGCCAGCAAACATATAAAAAAGTACTCAACATCTCTAATCATTAGAGAAACACAAAATCAAAACCACAATGAGATATCACCTAACACCAGTGAGAATGGCCTTTACCAAAAAGTCCCAAAACAACACATGCTGCCATGGATGTGGAGAGATTGGAACTCTCTTACACTGCTGGCGGGGCTGCAAATTAGTACAATCTCGGTAGAAAGTAATTTGGAGATGTCTAAAAGTGCTAAAAATAGAAAGACCATTTGATCCAATAATCCCACTACTAGGCATCTACCCAAAGGAAAGAACGACATTCTATAATAAAGACATCTGCACTCTAATGTTTATGGCAGCAAAATTCACAATTGCAAAGATGGGGAAACAACCTAAGTGCCCATCAATACATGAGTGGATTAATAAAATGTGGTATATGTATACCATGGAATACTGCTCAACTATAAAAAACAATGGTGATCTAGCACCTCTTATATTATTCTAGATAGAGCTTGAGCCCATCCTTCGAAGTGAGGTATCACAAGAATAAAAAAAACAAGCACCACATGTGCTCACCATCAAATTAGTACTAATTGATCAACACTAAGGTGCTCACAGGGTAGTAATATTCACTGGGTGCCGGTCAGGTGGGAGGGGGGCAGTGAGAGTGGGTAAACTCACAATTAATGGATGCAGAGCACACTGTATAGGGGATGGGCACACTCGTATCCCTAGCTTGGGAGAGGCTAAGGCATTTTATGTAACCAAAATGTTTGTATCCCCATAACATTCTGAAATTGAAAAAAAGAAAAGAAAGGAAAGAAAAGAAGAAAGGAAAGGAAAGGAAAGAAAAAGAAAGAAAAGAAAAGAAAAGAAAAGAAAAAAGAAAAGAAAAAAAAAAAAGAAAAGGAGATGCAAAAAATACAAAAAGAATCTCAATAACAACCCTGGGCCATCTCTAAAGAAAAGAAATAGAAATTTTGAAACTATTTTTTGTTTGCTTGTTTGTTTGCTTTTGATGTAAAAGTTGGTTCTTATGATATTGTTTTATCTTCTCAACTAGAAAAGTTATTGGGGTATAAGACCTGAATAACTTCTCTCTAGAATATAAACATTATTACTTGAAATGTTAACTTGGGAATAAAACAAATTGTGACAACCAGCTTCTACACAGTGCTAATTTGACAAATGAATAGGATATTCTTATTCTCAATTCATGACTGTCTTAGATAGTGTGACTGGTTTGACCTTCAGCTTGCTCTGTAAGAGCTTGTGTGTAGATAGTTTTGCTGGTATTTCTTCAAATGCTACTATTGTAAAATCATGCTAGATGTTATGTGATGATTTCTCGAAGTTATGTTTAAATTTCTAGCTTTATTTTCATATTCTTGAAAAAAAAAACTCAGTCCAAATAATTCTGTCAAAGGATTTTCCAGGCACCACACTATTTTTCCATTACCATTTTCTTGATATTCATTGTCAATATAATGATTTCAAAAATAGCTGTGACATATCCTTAACTGTTTTGAGTTTTAAAGTATAGTGGTTTTTCTTTTAAATGAACCTTCAACAATAATAGGTCTCTCCTCTCTTATGTAAGGAAAACATAATTAGTACTTCCAAGGCAACTGCCAAGCTGAATCTGGAAATGAAAGAAAATGATTCATTTTATAATGCTCTGTAAGAAAAATAACCCTGAAAGAAAATAAAGAAAAAAAAATCACTGAAGCCACACTAAAAGAACAATTATCTTGCTTCAACCCAAAAATACTTATTAATGCTCTCCTTCTGTCATTCCTTTCCACCTCCTCTTCCCGTTACTACCCTACATTCATATCCTTTGTATCTTCCTCCTCTTCTATGTTCCTCCCCCAAAGGAAGTGCAAATGATTTAGAGTCTATGATGCACCAGCTGTACCGCACTCTGCATATTTTTCTCAAAATATACTATTCTTTCTAAAGCA